CCGTAGACGAGTGATATAGATAGAGAAGTACATAATATATATTAACGAATATCGGATTACCACTGCGACGTAAACGAGTAAACGATATATGTACTTATATGTATATATATATTATATATATATATATACATTAGTCAATGTTCAATGTTGAGATATTTATCTGAAATAAAATACATATACGTTGTTTACACCATATGGTCTTTGTAAAAATATCGAGATGTTAAGCTCACGCGTTAAACAAGAGCGCACTTCGTCCCGCGAAGTAATCTCGCGTATCGATATAAACGCTAAAATCCATTCTGAATCGGCTGAATAATATTTAATGGCCGATTTAATCAGGGTATTGACTATTATTGCAAATTCTATACACATTTCAAAAATGTATCGTGTAATTAACTAATCCCATCATATTGCTTTCCTCTCGCCGGTATTTGAGATTTATTTCTGTTCCAATTAGAGATTCAGATCGGCCGGTGTCTCTTCGTGTATGCTACGCTTTTCTCGCGTCTGTAAAATACTTGACCGAAATCAAACGCTTCGAGCATACAAACGTTGAAATATAAATCGCTCATTAGAACTAACTGAGCCAACAGCAGTCAACAGAACCAACATCGAAACCCATATATTTGCATCGAAATTCTGTGCCTCGTCGATTGCGACTAATTGCACGCAGCAGCCGCCATGAAATTTCCAAAGGTAAGACCGCATCTGATATCCATGCATAAATATATATTATGTGTCAAGAACGTCGCTGTTACCGTCACCTCGTCCCTCCCTCTCTCTCTCTCTCTCTCTCTCTCTCTCTCTCTCTCTCTCTCTATCTCTCTGCGTTCGCGAATTCTCATAAATGCTTGATGAAAGTGATTATAGGTGACATCTCGTACACTACTACGACGGATATAAATGTGTCTCGTATTTGAAGTCGCGAATGTGTTTGCATCGGGAAACTTAATAGGAAAATTGCATTTACATTGCTACATAGATAGCATCGCGCGATCGACTATTTCCCGTTCCGACACAAGTGATCCTCGAGTCGATAGAGTCAGACTCAAGCATGCCGGTGACTTACGGCTTTATCTCGACGGCTTTCCGAGCTTCTCGCGCGAGGACCGTGTTCTTTTATGCTTCATACTTCCCTCCTGCGAATCTCGGTGTGATTTACGAGTTACTAATACCATCAACGGTCTCGATTTATACACTTTCACATGCACTCGCGCCGCTCGAATTACAAATCGACAGAACAAATACAAATACCGCTTGAAACGTATGTCAAAGCTTTCAGGGCGTGTTTATTTTTGAAGAGAGAGAGGTAGCTTTTTTCCATGTTTGCCGAGGGGGACGCAGTCGAGCCGGCAGCTATTACTGCGACAAATCTATAACTGACTGAACGTCGTGGAATTTTCATTTTACGCATGTTCCTCGAGCGAATAGATGACAGCTGCCACGAAAGCCACATCTGACTTGAATTCAAATCTCACGAATGATGTATAAATTCGGGCAAACCGCGCGGTAAACTTTTCATGTATTCCATTACATTCGGCAGGTTACATAATCACCAACAACAATATCGCGACATGTAAAGATAAAAGAGAAAGAGAGAGAGAGAGAGAGAGAGAGAGAGAGAGAGGAAAAGCACGCGCGATGAATTATCAGGTGGTGCCGCTGGTAAAGGAAACCCGGTAGTTGGTTGCATTTCACGATATTGACAAAGGTTGCTGGTCGTTGCGACCAGCCGAATCAAAATTTACACGGCCATTTGCAGGAATGGATAAAACAAACGCATGCACGATACGTATATACGAGCGCTCGTCCAAAAGCGACAAGGGTAATATATAGAAAAGGATGGTACACCTCACAAATCTTTTTCATTTTGAAATATGTTATAAAGGATGAAATTCTGAGTGACTTTTCCTAATACAATTATACGGGGGTCGCTTGTAGCTTCTGAGATATTTGACTTTAAAGTTTTATAATTGTACGTTGAAGTATATTTGAGGTAGACAAGCAGTTTTCATTCACTTTCAATATAGGAAACAGTACATATAAGCGGGAGAGGGGCTCCGCCCCTCCCCAAACATAATCCTAACCTAACCTAACTTGTTGCATCTTTATATATTTTTGGACATTGTTGAAAAAAGTTCTCTTAAGATCTATCATTTGGCTCAACTTAACTTATCATAATATCTGCGTATAATTAGGTGTTGTGGCTTTTAAGGAGATCTTGTCAACATCGCCCAACAGTACATAAAGATGCAATAAGTTAGGTTAGGTTAGCATTTTTTTGGGGAGGGGGTGCGGGGGAGGGGCGGAGCCCCTTTCCCGCTTATATGTACTATGCATACACTATGTTTGGATTAACTGTTTGGATTGTACTGTAAATAACGTCAGCTTATGATATCTGAAATTTAACTCCAATAATCAAAATTCCAAAACTTTAAAATCAAATATCTCAGAAACTATAAGCGACTCCCATATAGTTGTATCAGGAAGTCACTCCGAATTTCATCCTTTATAACATATTTCAAAATAAAAAAAAACTCGTGAGGTGTACTCCTTTCTATATATGATATTTCTCTACTTCAAATACACTTCAACGTACAATTATAAAGCTTTAAAGTCAAATATCTCAGAGACTATAAGCGACCCCCGTATAATTGTATCAGGAAAAGTCACTCAGAATTTCATCCTTTATAACGTATTTCAAAATGAAAAAAATCGGTGAGATTTTACCCTTTTCTATATATTTACCGCGACAAGAGCCAATGCGTCTGTTAAATTCTGACAAAGGGCGGCTGAGAGAGATACGCGCGTGCTAAGCGTATTCATACATATTACGGTGACACGCGTCTCCGCGCACGACCTTGTGCTCGCTGCATTATCCAAATATGTCACGGGACCATCATACGACGGTCGGCTATTCGTATGAATATACATGGCATGTATTCGAGAAAGGCTGGCGCGGCGACGACGGCGACGACGGCGGCAGGATGGCGCGCACGGGGTAGGGGCGAGGGAAAGCCGGAAGATACAAAAACTTCCGGCAGCTGGAAACTTTCCTTGGATCGCGACTGCGGGACTTCGCGGGGGATCTTCAAAGTCCGAGAATCGTTGATTCCCGGGGATTTGATCTCTCTTGAAAGCAGCAGCCGCCGCCGCCGCCGAGACCGACGCTGTAGCCGCCGTCGCGCGCGCGCGCGGAACGTTTCCTAAATCACCGGCTAAAGCTCGCATCGCGCGAAATCTCTCGCAATTTATACGGCCGCCGACAATGAAATATACCGTCGGAGGCAGGAAACTTTCGGGCGAGTTTCGGCGACTTTTTGCCGGCACGTCGGCCGCGGTTCGCCGGCCAAACGGTTACCTTTATGAGGACGAATGCTCGTAAGAATGAACGGCGCTGGGCTTTGGCGAAGCCGGCGAGAGAGATAGAGGAAAAAAGAGAAAGAGGCAGAGAGGCAGAGAGAGAGAGAGAGAGAGAGAGAGAGAGAGAGAGAGAGAGAGAGAGAGAGAGAGAGAGAGAGAGGGAGAAAGAGAGAGCAGTCTATACGAGAGAACTGTTTAGTGCGATTCACTATTTGGGATCCGCAGCGAAATTCCCGCGGAAAATTCTCGCCGGCATGTGCTTTATCGAAGCCACGTTTTCGCGCGTCTTCTTGTAAGGTAAATGTCCCAGTGGCCGATCACGTCTCAGTATCCGACCGCTTTGAAAAAAAATATTTGCAATTTATTTTAACAATGATGGATGAAAGTAATAATTATTATTGTAAAAAAAAAATATTTGACCAATATTTGACGATTAATTGGAAAAAAATATACTTAATTTGTGATACTTTTGTGCTAAAATAAAAATTAATTAAATAAATGCGCACCTGTGGTTTGGCAAAATAACGGTCAATTGTTAATGAATTCATTGAAAGATAGCATCCATATTTGTATCATTTCCCGTTAGCACACTTCTTAATTAATTTTCTAATTGCGGTCAGACGCTGGGACCGAGATGTATCCGCGAATATTGAGCCATAATTCATTTCAACTATATACGGTTACTGGTACATTAATGCTCTTCATGACTTATGTAAATGTTTCATTAATAATAGATATATACATTGGTTTAAATCATTTTTCTCCACCTGAGGGAATCTTAAGTTTTCGAACAAATGCAAATATTTATATCAATAATTATTCTTAATATTATGCATTGTATTTTTTGTGACGGCCTACGTTTAAACGTCCGGTATTATTTGGACATTTACCTTAATCTTCGCGGCCGTGTAATCGCGAGCGACTATCTGCCACCGTATAATACGCGTTTCAGTTGTTTAATACGATAAACCGGACGTCTATCACTTTACATTCCAACAATCATCCGTCAGTTTCCAACGATCTCGTGACGCTTATTAGACAAGGAGAGCCGCCCCGTCGTTTTCAGCTTCCTCATAAGGATTACCGAGTTTCGGCCATCCTCGAACTCCGACCGCACATTTACCCCCGGACATCGCAATTATCCCGACTGACAATCGTGGAACGTACTACATTTATAGATGCACCCGGAGAAAATAGCCGAGCAAAAGTTGAACCGCGATCGCGCCCTCGAGTTAACAACGACTTGGTAGGTACCAAAAGTGTCCTATCCTCGTACATCCCCATCCAGGTGTTACGACGGCGAGCGGGTCGCGGGGGTTGCGAGGGGACGGCAAGAGTGGGCGAGGGACGGCGGGACGGCCGAGAGCGGGAGGGTGGGGAGGGAAGGACGAGCGGGGGGGGAGGGAGGGAGGGGGATCGGTAGCGGTTCGTATAGGGTGACGGTGACGGTTTCGAGTGACGACCGGAGGACGGAGGGCGCCGAACGGTGGAGGGTTAAAGGGTGTTCGCATCGGTGGTAGGTGGCGAGTGGGGCGGTGGGGTCGCGAACGCCGGTGTGCGGGATTCTCTCCGCTCGGGGATGCTGGATCCGCCGGTGGAAACTTCAGTACGCGACCAGCCACCGACGTGTGTTTACGGTCCGAGGCTCCGGCGGAAGAGCGGCGAGGGTTGTTTGCTTCGGGGGTGAGAAACTCTTCGTAACTCTTGTTGCCCTTGTCGCCGGCGTCACCGTCACCGTCTACCACCACTACGACCGTCATCATTGCTATCGTCACGATCACCACCATCGCCACCACCACCACCATCACCATCACCGTCGCCGACGAACAGGGTCGGCCAACCGAAGTCGCGCGCGTCCCCGCGCCCGGAAGAGACGGGCCGGCAATTTTCCGGGATTGTCCAGCGGGGAAATCCGCCGGATTTTCGAATGTCACGGATTTTCACGAGCGGAACGTCCAGACGGAGAGTCGCGCGTGTAGGGTCTCATTGGCTCTTCTTTCTTTTGCCTTTCGACGAGAGCGGAAAAGCTCTCATGTCGCTCATGAGGCACGACGTCCAATTAGAAATCGAGTTTGCTATAGTTGACTATATACCGTGACGATTCGTAGAGTAGCTGTTACACAGCGTAGTGAGAATAATCGGTCGGAGCATATTGATAGATAATTGAATTTTTAAGTGGTAGCTTCTTCGACACGCGCGCTAACTTTGTAAGAGCGCGTCGGGCTGGGAGTTAAAGTTTCGAATGCCGCCGACGTGAACGAAGCGTGCTGTACAAAATTAGCAATGACCAAGGGAGGGCGAGAGAAAGGGGATCGTTAAAGTAATCGGTAAGTCATCGTGGCGTATGACGTTTAGCGCCGCTCACGTACTTTTCGCGCGGGCGATCCTTTCAATTATAATTTCGCACAGTTTGAATGAAAAGCCGATAGAGCCGTGTCTCGGTTTAAACGAGCATATAAACGTACGTAACTTTATGCGACAGGACGGACAGGCGCACAGGCTCTCTCTCTCTCTCTCTCTCTCTCTCTCTCTCTCTCTCTCTCTCTCTCTCTCTCTCTCACCTGTCACTCGGTGATGCGGCATTTCCGCTTACGGGCGCGTCGAATTATTGGCCGACTATAAATGTTTCTTACTGCGCGTCGCCGCCGGGTCGGCTATAAATAATGCCTAACGAAGGGAGCGCGCGAGCTGAAACAATTTGCGTTTGAGCCGAGGGGTGTCAAAGTTCCGTTCGTCGCCTTAATTGGACACATTCTGCTCGTTTCGGAATAACCTATGGAAATCTCGGCAACTTGCCGGCAAGTTGCCGAAGTTTCAGTGTTGTTTCAGTGTCAAGGACCGTAGTATGCGCGTTGACCTTAAAGCTCGTCGGGATAACCGGAAGCGACGCTGTGCAGGCGACGCTGATGTTTCTGATCGATTTCCGGCTAAGAGCGGGGAAAGTTTAATCGCACTTTGCGCGAGACACATCGGCCGAGGAAGTTGTAAAATAAGCGTCCGCACGTCACTCGTGGCGGCTAACAACTTGTCGCGTTAAAAAAGTACGTCACCCAAGACTTTTACGAGAGGTTTCATCGGGAGATAATTGCCACCTTCCTCCCCCGCCCTCTCTCTCCCTCTCTCTCTCTCTTTCTCTCTTCTTTTTTTACCTCGCGCTTCTGCGAGGTAATAAATCTCTGCGAGTCGAAGAGACATCGATCAAACGTCGAATGTTCTCGAGTAATTTCCTAAAGAGATAAAATCACCGCCGCGCCGTCGCGAGCTCGACGGTCAGATGCGAATGATAAACGCGACGTATCTATGTAGCTGCGGCGGCGGTTGCGTTGCAATTATCGCTCTCGCAAATACCGGATTCAGTTAAAAAATTAAGAGTTCATTCCCGGCAGAGAAAGCGTCCAATTAGCGCGAGCTTCGCTCGGGCAAACATGGACAATATTCTCGAGCTGCAAACGCGACCGGCCGTTCGCGCGATAGTCGCGACGAGTCGCGTTTTTCCGCGATTTATTTAGCCGCGAGACACCCTCGATTTCCAACGCGAAAGGCGAAATTGTGGCCGCGCGCGAAATAATTCCTCAGCTACAGAGGGCCGACTACATCGTACTTTCGTGACAACGACGACGGTGCGCGAGAAAATCGTTCGGCGACCCGATAATTGGGACAAGTACTCAACCGGTACGGTTTTCGCCGCGCTGCGACGTCTCATTTTGGACAAACTGATATTGTCTTACGGTTTCGCGGTGATCTCCAGGGAGAGGTGACGCTCCTCTCGAGTCACGATCGAAGTTGCACGAGTTAACTGCGAGTCAGTCGAACAGCTGCAAATACGCGGAATCTCGCGGTAAGTAACAACGAGCGCGAGCATATTCGCGTTTATTTCGCCTCGCCGTGCCGACATCGCCAGATATCAGTTCGCAGGGTCGTTTCAAGGTAACAATTCGGTACTCGACTTTTCGATATTCACAGAGAGAGAGAGAGAGAGAGAGAGAGAGAGAGGACAAATAGACACGATCCCGCGAAAATAAACGGTCCAACGAGCACGGGCGAGATATCCGCGCGTCGACTCCGCGCGGTCTTTACATTCGGCGACGCGGAGCGCCGCGACGGCATGAATAATTCCCCGCGCGCGCATATTCCGCAGCTCGTGGCTATCTTTCGGATACGTCGCGTCGCGGAGAATGGGATCGCGCAGACGTTCGACGTATCCGCTCGGGAGACGAGTCCGCTCGACATTTCCGACATACGGGGGCTATAGGCGCCGTGCCATGGGATGGTCGCGATACGTTGCGGGACATTCGCGGCATCGGCGAATACTCTCAATGTCAAGGTGTTCGGCGAGAGAAGTGCATTGGCTAAAAGGCCCGGTCTCGGCCTCGCCGCGTCTCGCCGAGGCCGAGGCTGCTCGCGTAAGAACGCCAGGAACGCGGTGCTCGGCACGCCGCGGTGGTGGCGGTGCCGGTGCCGGTACCGGTTTGTGGTAGAACGCGTAACCGACATTGGTGCGCCGAGGGCGACAGTGCTGGTGTTGCTGCCGCTGCTGCTGCTGCTGGCGCAGACGGCGCGGCGATGTGGTGATGGTGTTGCTGTCAGAGGTAGATGAGAATGAGGAGGAGGAGGAAAAGGAGGAGGTGGTAGTGGTGCTGATGGTAGTAATGGTGGTGACGACGTTGGCGTTGGAGGTGTCGTGTAAAAGTGATAGCAGCGTAGTAGAGCGAACGTAGTAGTAAACGTAGTAGAATAATAGTAGCAGAGAACAGTAGTAGTGGAGGTGGTGGTGGTAATACTAGCGGAGGGCGCTAGTACAAAGACGTAGTTACGACGGTATTAGTAGTAGCAGTGGTGGTGGTGGTGGTGGTGGTGGTGGTGGTGGTAGTGGTGGTGGTGGTAGTGGTGGTGGTGGTAGTAGTAGTAGTAGTAGTAGTAGTAGTAGTAGTAGTAGTAGTAGTAGTAGTAGTAGTAGTAGTAGTAGTAGTAGTAGTAGTAGTAGTAGTAGTAGTAGTAGTAGCTATGGCTGCTCTGGGTTCATGAATGAACGACCACTTCACCTCTCTCGCACCGCCGCTAATAGGCTTCCTTTCTCGCGCGGTGAACCGCCTACGTATTTTTGTCGATATTGTACTTCCCGCGTCGTTCGAGGGCGTTGCCGATTATTGCGTTAATTGTCCTTTGTCCGGCGCGCAATCTACGCGCGCGCGGGAGAGAGAGAGAGAGAGAGGGAGAGAAAGAGGCAAGGGAGGGAAAGAGAAGAGAGCAGCCCTTCTATCGCGGCCTATGGAAATATTTCAGCGTTCCTCGCCACTGTGACCGACATCGGACGACTGGGGCAACACACGTGAGCCTGAGAGACCGCCCCCCTCCACGGGAGCTTCTCTTTATGATTTGACCAATTTCGCGCCAATTTATCGCATTGTCCCGCCGAAATGCGCCACTTTGATAAATGAACCGGCAAACTGCTCGTGATGAATATCGCGGGCTTCTTGGCGGCCCAAATGAGACGTACATTAAGAGAAATATCCAGGTGAATTCGGCCGGAGTGCGAATTCTCGACCGACTCTACTGCGAGCCGAGTGTGTGTGTGTATGTGTGTGTGTGTATGAAAATTGCGTCGCGTCGATTTGAGAGTTTCGCCACTCATGAGAGACGTCCACCCCGTGGAGAATCAAGCTGCGAGCACAATCGCATATACGTTATCTTTTTCCGGAACTTCCTGCCGGCGGAACTTTCATCATGATCAAGGGTGTGTTGACCTTTTTCCACGGTCTATATAGAGAGAAAGACGACTATGCTTCTTGCGGCTCAGCCGTGAAGCCACGACGTAACCAACTTGGCCATTATTATCCGTTGTTGTCTACTTCCGCCTACTATATCTACCTCCAAGTGTTTCCGGGGGTCGTTACTAATTTCTAAAAACTGGAACATTGCCACAGCGTTGGAATCTTTTACGATGCACTTTTAAGGAGAATTTATTCCCCCTGCACACTCGGCGCGTTTCTTAATTGCAGTTACAGCTCTGTCAACGAACGAAACACGCGGCAGAGGACTTTTGCGCGTGATATCCGCTTCGCGAGCGAGACATTCACTCAGTCACTCACTTTTCATCGAAGCAAACGTTTCGGCGTCCACTGTTTAACGTTCTAAATAGGTGAGCGGTGCTCCTTCTATGCGTTTTTCACCCTTCGTGCGTTCACGCACGGTAAATGTGCAATTGATTTCTCGGTCTGCAGGTGCAATATGACGCGACAATACGCTCTCGGTGCCGTTCCGTTCCGCAGCTTTCGAAAGCGATCGAGAATGTTAGGAATTCCTCGGAAAGAACGACGAGGATCAAATCCTAACGAGTCACGATGAAATAACACAACGTAGCTCCGAGATAAATCGAATCTCCTTACATTGCGTACTCCCGGGAAGTTAAATTAAACGGTTAAGAAGCGCTACGACGTTTATTTTGTATCTCGGCAATATACATACTAAGTGGGGAAAGAGAGCTTATACTCTTTATAAGAGTCACAGATTTACGCGCAAAGAGAAATGTCCTTTGATTGTATTCATCGTTTGACACCGTTGCATTAGCCGTCGCTGAATATGCGGGTTAGAGCTTCTTTACAATTCTATACACTAAGGAAACCATTGAGCTACATAAAAGGAAGCACTTTATAAGCAGGAAATTGTCTTGTCGCAGCGACGGC